TTCTGCTTCTCGGTGGGGCCTTCGCTCAAACTGTACTGCCTGCTTTGCAGGTACCCAAGCTCTGGAACGTACACCTGAACGCTGATGTACTGGCCCGGCAGGTACTTTGGCAACGGCGTTGCGCCATCGCTCGGCACGAGGTGGAAGCTGGTGATGTTTGTGCTCTCGACCACCTTGTCGGCAATGCGGAACTTGCGCCAGCCGACCCAATTCTCTGCGGCGTTGGCCTTGTACATCTCGGCCTCGCGGTTGATGAAGACGTCGGCGAGGACGCCATATGCAGCAGTCCATGCGTCTACAATCTCGGGGGTCGCCGCGTCGCCGAGGACTTGTCCAATGGCTTGGATCAGGTATTTCCCGACGATGTCGTACTGCTCGGGCGTGACGTGGAGGGAGACGTGCTTGTGAGCAATCCGCTCGACGGCATGCGCGAGCTTCGGAAGGTCATCGATGTATGTGGCGTACCCAAGGACGGCGCCTGCAAGCGCGCGAGGCTGTCTGCCTGTTGCCTGGCTGGTTGTGCTGAAGATGTTGTGGAGTTCAGGCACTTCGGTGATCATGTTCTTGTAAAAGACGGTGGTGATCGTCACGCCGTGCTCTTTGAGAACTGGCGCCGTCGCCTTGACGATGGCGATCTGTTCGTTTGTAAGTGAACCCATGGCTGAGGGCTTTGGGTAGATTCGGTGATGGTATTGTTTTTGGTTACGGGTATTGTTGAGTGTATTGAAAGGAGCCAAAATGGTTTTCCAAACTCCTGAGAAGTTTCTTAAGTGGAGAGTATCAGATTGTAACGTTGGATGATCCACTCTGTGTGTTCCTTGGAAGCATTTGGTTTCGATGGGGGCCTCTTGAGGTATTTATATTTCTTCATTCCTGACAACCATCCTCTAACCTCATCCTCGCTTGCGCTACCCATTTCATGACCAACGGGCGCGGATCATCCTCTTGGGCAGGTACGTATCGCCGCTCGTCACTCACCAAAAAAAAAAAAAAAAAAAAAAACCCCTGGTGGGCACGCAAATTGATCCCGCCCCGGCGTGCCGATCTACGCATCTCCGAGGGCCGATGACTATACCGGCTGTTCTATGGGGTTGAATATTGGTCAGAAAGGGGCCCAGAATATCTGACATGTCTAGAAATAGCCTGGGTCGACATTTCGAGCATGGAGTTTCTGGGCCTCCTCTGAACCGATCAGCTCACAATTTGATAAAACATCGGCTGAGTCAGGAGAGCCTGGCACTGGTTCTGTATCAAAGTGCATCTCCGCGGCGGGATTCCCCGTAAAATGGCGACACCCGAGAACGTCCCCGGGGATTCCGGTGGGGGCGCCGGTGTGTTTCGACCAATGATAAGCATTCTAATTGGTAATTCTCGACCCGTTTTTCGACCAAGATGATTCCAGACCCTTTTTCTTGTTTCCCCATCATGCGCTATATAGGTGGTCCCACCAATTAACCCCTGACATTTTTTTTTTCCCTTCTGGACTCTTGGTTTCCCACTACTCCAGATTTTACCACTCAGGTGGTACGGAGTACCTTACCTATGTGGTGTATTTTGCAAACCCAGGTGGTTGGTACGCCACTCACCACCACTCACGCCACTTTGGTCCCGAAAATCAAATAGCCACTGACGGCAACAGCGGTTTCACAGCCTTTACAAGCCAATAAAATCCCATCTCCAACCTTATCTGGACGTCACCGTTCGTGTTCCTTGCATAGCTGGTGTTTTCTTCAACGCAGTTTGGAGCGGACTTACCCGTGCAGTTAAAAAGTCCCGCTGCCTTATACATATTTCTTCAACCCCATTCCAAAAAAAAAAAAAAAAAAAAAAGAATTTTGTAGGATCGGCAATTGATCAACAACAACCTCACACCACCCGCCAACTCTTTTCATTTTATTTCGTAAAGCAATCCTTGGTTTATTATCTCAAGCTTCTCGTTACAGATGGCCAAGCTGTGGTTTTATCCGGTGCGGTAATTAGTGTACGCATCTCCCCCAGATCCTGTCCTCCTTGTGCTCAACCGGCAGGCCAAAATTCCTTCTTCTCAACCTTTATAAATTGCTGGCAGGCGGTAATTGGAGAGCGAATTATTTGAATAACAAATTAGGAGGAGGGTTTCCAAGTTCCAATCGAAAACCCCTGGGTGGGATTGTGAAAGAAAGAAAGTTGATCTTCAAACCCCTTTTGCCACCCTCTTCCCCCGCCCAAACAAGACCAAAAGAATCTGGGGTATAATTCGAAAAAAAAAAAAAATTTTCTCCTGGAGAGGACAAAAAATTTCGCAGACATGGCCTATCGAACATTGCTTCCCTTGCTTGACCCCGGAAAGAGTATCCGAGCAGTCGTCGTTCAATCACCTGAGCAAATCCCCAAAGGCATGTTATGGGATATCGGCGAGCCTTTTATTTGCCTTCTTGTTCTTTTCTTTGGGAAACCAAAAAAAGTGATAATTTCACATGTGTCTGACTGTGCTGGGATTTCTGCAGAAGAGGAAAAAAAAAAAAAAAAAAAAAAAAAAAAGCACAGACATCTTCACATCATTGACGATCGCACCACCCAATGTCGTCGTCCCAGCAGTCATTTAGCCTGGCTCAATCAGAGAATAAACTGTCATGCATATCTTGGCATTTGTCAAACGGAAAAGGAAAAAAACTGGGGGCGATTATAACTATTCGACAATGGGTGTGGATAATCTGTTGCAATCACGGTGTGAAATGATGATTAGATATGTAATAGATAAAACCGTGCCATGGAATCTTGAAGATGATGTCATCCACACGCTGATTCTTTCTGGTGTACTCCGTTACGCGCGCAGGTATTGGGAGTTTCGAAGAAACGGTGCCAAGACCGCACCAATGGATGATGAGCTGCTGTCCGTCCGTTCTTCGATTGCTGAGCTAGAATAGGGATTTGGGATCGTTTTTTTTTGGGGATCAAACCAAAGCCAATAAAAACGCAATGGGGCATCATTTAGCTTCCTTTTGGTGCACAGCCCCCCCTCAAGTTCCACGTCTGGGCATGTGATTAGTGTAGCCCGCCGCCAACGAACAGGAGCCCAACCTCATCATCTCCTTGCCGCGAGGGAGCCAAGCGGGAGCCAACAGTGGCCAAATTTCGACAGCAACAAGCTCGAGCATCATTTTCCTAAAGACATCTCTGGAACCACAGAGAAGAGGCCCATTTCGAGTAATTCTACTTCAAATCGCCCCAGATGGACAAAACTCACTCATTTCCATAATGCCACTGTCGATGCCAAAGAAGCCCGAGTCGAATAGCGGGGGACGTTCCAGCCGGCAGGCGTTCAAAGGAGCGATTGTCTCCCTTGCAGCAACCAAAAACAAAGAGTTTACCGGGATTGAAACGACAGGACGACAAATAACCGTCGATCCCCGAGACTTCATTTCCTAGCTTCGACCTGGCTCATCATCATCCCTACCGTCCATCATCATAATCATCATTATCATCATCATCGTCATCATCATCATCGTCATGGCCAGCTTAGGGCCACTTTTGGGGGCAAGGCCTCTCCGGGCCGGTGAACTGGAGGAATACTGGCCAGAAGGGAGACGCAAAGAGATACTCGCCCGTGGCAAATATCTGATCCGGAATCATCTAGAGGTGCCGCCTCATATCAAAGCGGCTTACGAAAGGATCCAGGCCGAGGATGGCTACGGTTGGAACAGAAGCAGCGCAGACCAGTAAGTAAAAAGTCATCGAACCTCTGCACGAATTTTTTTTGATTAATGAATATGAGTTTCTAGCGTCAACAAAATCATTGATGGAGTGCCGAAACGTCTCTTTGACTACCAAATATGGAAGAGAGACAACTTTACAGAACCACCACCAGAGACCGCGCCAGCTTATTACGACATCATGAGGCGCGCTATGCTCGCCGAGCAAGAGTTTTACGGCTTCGACAGGGACAGCGTCGGTGGCAGGCTCTTGGAGCAGCTTCAGCTTCCAGCATCCGCCCCGGGTTCATTCAAGCACCACCTCAAAGCCTCGGGAATATCCATCGACAAAATCATACATTTCTCTCGCTCTCTCTGCTTCGAGGGGCTCAAGTTCGGCTCGACCTGGCCGACTCTGCAGCTGCAGCTCCAGCACCGACGGCGATATTTTGTCCATGACCTGGCAAGGTACCTCCTGCCGAAGCAAAGCAACACCAAGGAGATCAAAAACGTCGAATACTTGATTCCTGCTCCGCTACCAAAGAACGCACAGGAGCGGGCGAGGTACAACCCAGACGCGTTTCTCGAAGAGGGCTTTCTAAACATAAACTCACGTACGCTCGTCTTCGATACGACTCTCAACAGCACGTTATTGAAACTCATGCAAGAGGTGGATTTGAAGCCGGGAGTTATCATCAAGCAGTTCACCTTTTGGAGAGACGGAGATGACGACTCAAGCAGCGGCGGCAGACCTGCGACTTGGAAGTAAGTTTTTATATATATACCCTCATAATGGTTCACGGAAGAAAATTCTAAAAAAAAAATAAAAAAAAAAAAATTTAATTTTGCTAACCGCAGACTTGCACAGTGACTTTTATGACGTTCCCAGCTGGTTGAGGGAAAACTATCATGTCTATCACAGACAGCCTGGAAGCGGCTTCGTTGGGCCGAACGCAACCGTTTACATTCGAAAGGGGAAACAATCTTCTTCATTATTGAAATCATGTATGGCCGCATAGCCCCAAAGAGGAAAAAAGCGGTCCATTGCAGGGACAAGGAAATCCTGTAGCATAATAATTATTACTGTACAAACAAGAGACGGATTAAGGTAAATAAATTGCCACACTGAGATGCTTGGCTTATAATGCTGGAAGGAATATAATAATAGAGATTGCAAGAGGCACCGTGAACATCACCTGCACCTATATGAAATAATACATAACTTTGGAACCCAAGCAAGTGCGCGACCAAAAAGGTCCAGAAGAGATGTAGAAGAGAGAGACCAAAATAATAAATATATGATTGAAAACTGTTCAAAAAATGAAAGCGCACCCGACGTGGGACTCGAACCCACAGCCTTAAGATTAGAAGTCTTACGCGCTACCATTGCGCTAGCCGGGCTGTAACTGTTGTTGGATGCTTGTTTCGCCAACAATACTTACATTTTGTCTGAGAATATTTCCAGACGACGCTTCCCACCTTTTTTGGCATGTCTATACATGCCTCAATGAGCAATGCATTGTCAAGACTTGCAGGAACATGAAATATAAGATAGGTCTCCTTTCATACAGTAGGTACTTACCCACCTCCTATGTTTTAAGAGTTTGATCATTCCACACTGTCTGACCTCAAACCTTTTTTTTTTTTTTTTTCAGTTCAGAGAATCTGCCCCACTTGGTGGGGGGCGGCGGGGCTCTTTGTCCCGTCGACGCGTTAATGGGTTTGGGAGAAGTCGCGTCTTCCCGCAAAATCCATTCCCAAACAGTCATTCCTTCTTAAACAGACTGGAACTCGAAATAATACTACAAACGTAGCCATCCTCCCCATTTTGACCCACCGACGATACCATCGACCTCACAATAAGTCGTTTTCCAAAATGACAGTCACCGTCGTCGACCCCGCAGCTGCTCCCCCAGCATCCTCCTCTACCCCTTCATCCTCGTCCTCCTCCTCCTCCTCCTCCTCCAAGCGCCACGAAGAATACCAATACCTCGATCTGGTCCGCGAGATCCTCGAACAAGGCGAAGTCCGTAAAGACCGGTATGTCTTCTTCTTATCCTCCTCCTCCTATTTTCCCCCTCCCTAACCTCACTAAAAGTTAACCTTTCGACAACGAAAAAAAATAAAAAACACAGAACCGGCACGGGCACCATCTCAATCTTCGCCCCCCGCCCGCTGAAATTCTCCCTGCACGACCCCTCGACCCTGCGACCGGTTCTCCCCCTCCTAACAACCAAGCGCGTCTTCACCAAGGCCGTCATAGCCGAGCTCCTCTGGTTCATCTCGGGCTGCACCTCGTCGGTCCCGCTGTCCCGGCAGGGCGTCAAGATCTGGGACGGCAACGGCTCGCGCGCCTTTCTCGACTCGCTGAACCTGCACCACCGCGACGAGGGGGACCTGGGCCCCGTCTACGGGTTCCAGTGGCGCCACTTCGGCGCCGAGTACGTCGACGCGCAGACCGACTACGCCGGCAAGGGCGTCGACCAGCTGGCGAGGATAGTCGAGACGCTCAGGACTAACCCTTACGACCGGCGGCTGATCCTCTCGGCCTGGAACCCAAAGGACATGCCCCAGATGGTCCTGCCGCCCTGCCACATGTTTGCGCAGTTTTATGTGTCCTTCCCCAGGAGCTCAGCTGAACAGCAGCAGTCAGGGTCGGACGCCAAGGTGACGGGCCATCTGCACTGCCAGCTCTACCAGCGCTCGTGCGACATGGGATTGGGCGTGCCCTTCAACATTGCCAGCTATGCGCTCTTGACGCACATGCTCGCGCACGTTACCGGCTTGATCCCCGGGAGCTTGACGCACGTCATGGGCGACGCGCACGTTTATCTTAACCATGTGGATGCTCTCAAGACGCAGCTGGAAAGAGAGCCACGCGACTTCCCCGAGCTGGAGATCAGGCGGGAGAAAGGAGGTGAAATCGATGGGTGGGAGTTGGAAGACTTTGTGATTAAGGATTATAATCCTCACAAAATCATCCCTATGGAGATGTCGGTATGACCTTTTCTTGTGGGTTTATATTGGTCAAACTTTGCATTCCTGGATATAGAGCGGGCTCATTTGGGACTTTTAATATGAAATCCTTTTTTCCTCTTTAAAAATGACTCTTGACAAACCGATATGCATATCTACTAGAAACGCACGACATAGATAATCTAATAGAGCGGGGTTTTTTTTTTTTTTTTTTTTTTTTCATTATCTTCCCGTCCAAAACCAGTCCATGTTATTTTATAATTCAACTCTCAAATTACACATTTCGCCCCTCATTCAGCAAATGCCTCCCACACTAAATAATTAGAAATATCATCGCCAGAATACCTGATTTTATGTAACTTGGTCAACAGAAACACCACATCAAGCTTTACTCGGCTTCACCCGGCGAAATCCATACTCCCCAACATTGATATCAAACCCGTTTCCCGGCATATTACCGAGCTTGCAGAAATCCCAAAATCGAAAGCGCATTAGTATTCTTCACGGTGGGGATTTCAAGCGCCATCGACTTTGGGCTGCACTGGGAGAGATTTGTTCTCAGTGAAGTGTCTGGGCAACCTGTTTTCGCCCTCGCTGTATGGGAAACCAGCTTCCTCACGAGCCATGTCGTTGACCCACTTCTCGTCACCTCTGAGGCCGCCTTTGCCATGTCTCTCGACGCCCACCTCGTTCCACTTGGCAGCAAGATAGAACCAGCCAAGGGCGTTGCCGACGGTGCCAACCTCATCCGAGACGCCAGTGGCTGCTGCGTGGCTCATCTTCTTCCAGAGCTCCTCATTTGTGCAGAGTTCAAGCAAGTGCCCTGCAACAGCCTTCCAGTCGCCAGGCTGGACGAGGAAGCCATTGACTTTGTCCTTGACCTGAAGAGGAATACCGCCGGTATTGGTGACGATAACGGGGCGACCGGCGTGCAGAGCCTCTGAGACCTTGACCTCAAAGCCTTCACGGGTAGAGAGCTGCATCACCACCTCGGCATTCGCGAGGAGGGTGTTGATGAGCTGATCATTAGGGTCAAGTCGCATGACGCTAATGTCTTTGATGAGGTCGGGATAATATGTCTCCAGCTGGCTCATGGTCTGGTCATAGATAAAGCTTGCATCGGGGTCATCGACTGAACCGTTACCGCAAACAACAAGTTGAGGAACATCGGTGAGACCCTGCTTATCGCAACGGCGACGGAACTCGGCGTATGCGTCAATAACAGTAGGAATACCCTTGGCGGGGTCAAAGCGAGCAACTTGGATCACATATTTTCGGGCGGGCCAGTTGAGCTCAGTCCTGTGGCAGTCAGTACACAACCGTCGAGGATGGGTGGAAAACCAATGTAAACTTACATGCGCTGGGAGTGGCAGGCAACATTGTAGATGTGACCATAGTACCCGGAATCCCACTTGTTCAGATGCTTGTTGAGTCCATCAAGCCAGTCAGTGGTGGCAGGTAAGTAGACAACCTTCTCACGGGGAACAGTGTGAGGAACAAAGATGGGAATGGGATGGCTGATGAACATATCAGCCAGCTGAATGTTACTCCACAGAAACTCCCAGACATCAGCCTGAGGCGAGCCAGACTTGGCGACGAGGTCGCTCCTGATCTGGATGTGCGAACGGTACAGGACTGGACGATGTGGAGTGGCCTTCTTGATGAGCGGAATAAGGCCTGGCATTTGCGGGTCATCGATCTGCGTTGGTCAGCATCAGCTGTTTATGGATATGCGCATTATGAACAAAACTGCCCCGCCCCCTGCGCCCTTTTTGGTGCCGCTGCAGTCGTGGCTCCACCAGTGTGGTAAGAGATGCAGGAGCCGCACGTCAAAGGAACATGCAGCAGTGGAGGAGATTTTGGAGCCAACGACAGGAAATGGCTCATTGGGGAGTAGCGTTCTACTTACGATCACAACGTCGGCACCACCGTCCTCTGGAGAGCACAGTGGACCGCCTTCGGAGAACCAATAACGGGTAGCATTATCGGTGATCCAATCAATGATTGATTGCTTCTCCTCGGCCGAGATGCGCTGGTCAGGGTGGCTTACACCCTGAAGGATGTTGTGGATGTTCTTGGTGACACGGAACACGCCAGGGCGAGGCTTCGGGACTATTCACATGTCAGAATTGATCCCGAATATGAGAATCCCTGCATTTCGACTTACCGTACCAGGTCAGATCCACGCCCATAAGACGTGCGAAACGGACCAAGGCATGACGCATGAGTGCAACACCACCACCCTGCGGGGTGGAGCTAAAGAATGCAATCTTGGTCTTGTTCCCACGAAGTTTCTTGGCGTATGTCAACATGGTCTCCCACGTCGCATGGCTGCAAGTGTCTTTGTGGTTCTGGACGGTGGTAAGGTGTGCCCGGAACCCAGCATCAGTCTGGACAACTCCTCTCCAGCCAACCTGGAGGAGAGGGACAAGAGACGGGCCAAAGTTCCTGCAAATTTATTAATACACCACACAGAATTCGTATAGGTGCTATCGGGCGCACTTACATGATGCACTTCCGTGCCATGGAATCGGCTTGTTCATCTACGCGCTTGACATCCCAGAAGGACTTGGCCTTGTGCTCGTCATCGGGACGCATGACGATCGGAACGATATCAAGCTCCAGCCAAAGACGGGAGCACAGCGTTGGGCTCATGTACTTGAGCGTCGTTGGGAGACCGGCACCAATGAACTTGGCAAAGTTCTCGTGCTCGTACTTCTCCACCTCGGAGATGACATGGTCAGCGATCAAATCGGCGCCCATCTTCATGGCATCGTCGAGCACAATGTGCTTGACGGAGAAATCAACTAGGTAGATGGTGTCGTGGATGGCCAAAGCAACGACCGCAGTGTGGTCATCTGAGAAGACGGCGGAAATACCAAGATAGAGCGTCTTGTAGGCGGGTGGGCGTTAGCACCAATCAGCCACATGCAAACATAGTCAGGAAGAGCACCTACAGTCAGAGCAGGACCAAAGTGACCTTCCTTCTCGACAAGCGTGCTCATCTGACGCTTGCGGTGCACCGAGGTGCCCGTCGAGAACTTGCGGGCCTTTTCGAACGCCATGACTGCGTGGATGAATGGTCGGAACCGACTGATTGGCTGGGTGGGGTGGTGATGATGTTCGTTCTGGGGTTGAGGGTGTTCTTGGGCAGGCTGCTCTTGTGATTGATCAGAGGCTTGTGTGCTTTCGGAAATCCGTGGTAGCCCGGTAGGTGGCAGAGCGTCTGCAAACGGATCGCGAAACACTGGAGGGGCTTGGTTGTCTTCAGACGAACTTGCGATGTAAAGGGGGCTGCTTGAGGTTATATCTACAGACCCCTCGCAGTCTTGGACGGGGGACGAACGAATAAGACCGGTAAAGCGGGGGGACGCGGCAGATGATGACAAAAAAGAATTCGTGTGATAGCTGTCTCGGTGATTAGA